TTCTAGAGACAGAATGCTGGAAGAACAGACTAACTAACTTAAGTCTGGCCTAGATGTAGAGCCAGCTTCATGGTCACCATTTTGAAATTTTAATGATTTTTGAACAAGGAGACCCACATTTTCATTTTGCATTGGGCCCTGCAAATTATGTAGCTGGTCTCATTAAGACATGAATAGGAGGTGGGAAAAGAATGAAGAAATAAAAATCACAGTTGCAAGTCATGCTGTTTATCAGCTTCCTCTCCTTGCCAAGTTCTCAATGTTAACCTCGATGACCCCCAACGGGCAAAACCGCCTTGTTAGACTTTGGAGCCATTTTGTAGCAATGAAGAGTGTGAACTCAGATAGACCTGGAGCCACACAGATCTGGTTCACAAACTCCCTCTACAATGGATCAGCCATGGATCCTCTGGTCAAGTTCCCCAAGCACTCTATGCCTCTGTTCACTCACCTATAAGATGGCAAAGCCAATTACATGTGCTTCTTACAGGCCCCAGAAGGGTACTGTGAAAATCAAGTGAGGAAATGAGTATAGTGTGCCCAGCAGAGCGCCTTGCAGGTAGTGAGTCCTTGGTGGATGTCAACTTTAAATATGTAAGGTTATACTTTCACCAAAAGGGCTTTGAATAGTGAGTATGACAAGAGCAGAAAATTGCATCAGATTATGCAAAAAGGCAAATGCTGGCGACTTTGACTGCTCTGTCACAGAGAAGGATCTGTGAGGAATGGTCTTCCTCTTATTACCGCATATTGTTACTGATGGTTTAAATGTTTTGTTGTTGCTGTTATTGTGAATCTGTAGTAATAGGAGCCTAAGCTTTTGACCTTACATTCAAAATGAGCAGAATTCTGTGGAAGAAAGGAATAGGGGTGGGTGGAGCTACAAGGAAAGTCTCTATAAAAGAGGCCATGTGAGGGAGAGCTCTGTCCCTACGTCATCGTGTTAGCACAGAGGATCTGGCCTCTGTAAATGTGACCATCTTAATAGTTTACATTTCCTTTCTGTTTGGAGAGTTGGGGAGAGGTTGGAGTTTTTATCTTCATTTGTTCAGTAAAGTCTCTTTTGACAGATTTTACAAGAGATAGGAATTCGCCTTCTCCCAGACCAGGATGGCTGGGAGGTCAGAGTGAGCCCAGAGGTTAGAGAAAATGGTGGCAGTTTCTGTGAACTTCTCCCCCTACTGCCACCAAGCACCTCCTCCCCCTCCTGTTGCAGGAGGGAGTGATAGGCTGGCTGGAAAGACTGAGGTCAACTCCCGAGGTCTCTCCAGGGACTAATTTACCTCAGTCAATTACCAAAAATAAATCTCTGCAAAATAAAATTTAAAAATCCTTCAACCCTCCCTCATAGTAAGACTTAGGGTCTGAAGGGCGATCTGTCTCATCTCCTTTGCCTGTGAAAATTCTTAGGTGAGACCAAGGCCATCTCGAAGGATGTTTATGCCAGTCCCTCACAGGAAGTTAGCTGAGGAGTCAGGCTGATGAAGCTCCTGAGGTGCCAGGTGGCCTCACATTATGCTCGTTAGTCACATTACTCATGGTGACACTCTCAGGATATTCACCTAGGTGACATACTTAGTGCTGATACAATCTTCAGTGATTTGGTGAGAATGTTTTAAAGGGCACTGTAAAGCTTTTTAGACACAAATATAGCCAGTTTCTTATAGTCCCTAAACTGCTAAATAGTACCCTGATGATGCTAAAACAGTAGACATTTCAAAGGTACCCAAATTAAAACATCCAGGTGAACGTTTAACTGATGTTAAAGGAAAAACAACCAGTTTACACCCTGATGCTGACACTTGGAAATTTTGTGCTGTAGCTCCCCTGTCCCCGGGCACCGAGGGCACTGTCTACAGAAGATAAGTGGCTCAGAGCCTGCCTAGCCAAATCCTGATTCATGGCCCCCCCCATCCCCACTCCACCGCCCCCAAAAGAAATAACTCAGAATTTCCCTGAGCAACCCAACCCTAGCTACTCCATATCCCACTCAATCACTCAACTTTTGGTGCATCTCCTCCTTCTCTGCACATTGTTCTACCATGCCAGATCATGCACATTGTGTACCTTTAAAGCCAGATGTGTGATCCTGTGGATGTTCCTGACTTATGTCCATATTCTCAGCATTTTGCTTAAAGATGCTTTCTAAGTTGGCCTAGAGAACTTTGGGTGTGGCTGAAGTTCCACGAGACGAATCCAAATTTTCCCACTCCTCTCTTCTTTTTCAACTTAGAGTGATTTCTATTTTTGCTCATTTCTAGCAGGGACCTGTTTAATGGGAGCTGAATGCCTGCGTCGTGTAATCAAGAGTCAGAGCAGATAGACTCGATCCAGAAAGAAATGGCACAAAAAAAGTGTATTAAGACCAACCTCCAAGCCGTAAGGGTATCCCCCTCCTGCCCTCCGCATCCCCGGGCTTGGCACACGTTGTTGAACTGCTTGCTAACATCTCCACTAGATTCCCCTGATTTCCTACTTTGCCCCAGGTCCTTGGCTACATTAAAACAAAGTTTACATTTACCAGGAGACAGGTTATAAAATGATGAACTCTTCTTTTTCATTTTGGGCATTCGTTTGGCATGGGATCACCCCAAACCTTGTTTTTCCACAAACACCTAGTGCAGTTGCTAACTAATTATCCCACTGAGGCCAGAACAATACAAGGAAGATGTTCTTAGATCCAGCAGATAATCAAATAGTTGAATTAGATTTAATTCTGCCTAGAATTCTTTTCATACAACCCTTACGAGTCTAATTCTGGCTTCAGAACAAGCACAAAGAGGTCATTTAAACAAAGTTTTAAGGATCCTAAAATATTACACAGCACTTGTGTGACATGATGTGAGTAGTAAAACGTTGAGCAAATTTCGGGCAGACTCGGGTCACAATTTTCAGCAAAATCAAACATTATAGCACTTGGTCTGCCATGGAAGAGTTGCAGCCCCCACTCACTGCTGTCGCTGAGAGTGGGCCAGTAGGCCCACCCTGTCAGATGCTAATTGATGACCCTAAGACCAGCTCTTGTAAAATGGGGTGCAGCCAAGCCAATGAAAGCCTTGCACTTAAGAGGAGGCACCACCCAGGCCCAGCCCAGCCCCAGCCCCTGCGCCAAGGCAGGCTTGGCCCAGCCCCACCTAATCAAGCTTCTGATTGTCTTCAGGGAGGGACCAATAGAGCGCTCTGCCAAGGCGTCCTTGTTAGGACCTGCCACTCCCTAGGACTAAGCTGTCCACCACTGCTGGGGCTTGTCTCTTGAGGCCATAAGGGTACAATTAATTGCAACAGCTGTGGCTTAATGTGTCTCTAAGCACCTTGTTGATCTTGATGGTAATGACAACAATGGGAAAAAAAAATCAATATATCTGAAATGCTCAAGGATTTTCCCCCAAGGTTCAGTTCAAGGTTTTTATCTAATCAGGCCTGGATCACATGATAATAATGCTGGTGAATATTTTTTTCTTTTTCTTTTTGAGGAAAATTAGCCATGAGCTAACATCCACACCGATCCTCCTCTTTTTGCTGAGGAAGAAAGACCCTGCTAACATCTGTGCCCATCTTCCTCTACTTTATATGTGGGACACTTGCCACAACATGGCTTGACAGCAGTATGTATGTCCACACCCGGGAGCCAAACCAGCGAACCCTAGGCTGCCGAAGCAGATCATGTGAACTTAAACTGCTGTGCCACTGGGCTGGCCCCTTTGCTGGTTAATTTTTAAATGTTAATAATGACAGTTGAGGGGCCGGCCCGATGGCACAGCTGTTAAGTCCACATGTTCTGCTTCAGTGGCCAGGGGTTTGCTGGTTCAGATCCCAGGTGCGGACATGGCACCTCTTGGCAAGCCATGCTGTGGTAGGCATCTCACATATAAAGTAGAGGAAGATGGGTATGGATGCTAGCTCAGGGCCAGTCTTCCTCAAAAAGATAAATAAATAAAATAATGACAGTTGATGGGTACATCATGATTGTTTGTTAGGAACTATTGTGTTTCTGAGTATTTATTTACTTGATCTTTTAAAATTAAGCTTATAATTTCTACAACTCAGAAAGTCAAATACAAGTTGCAGGATTTGAACTTAATGTAGCACATTAAAGTACTTCTAAGAGTTGTACGCATTTCTGAGGTTTTACTTAATTAATCAAATAATTTAGTGTATTTTTGAATGTTTGTCCATGTATTGCAAACTTTAAAAGCTTTAAGATGCATAAAAATAGCTGATCTATGTATAAGAACTCTAAAAAACACAGAAAAAAATTCTGCTGAAGCATTGGAGGAGAGATCAAATGGATTCTGACCGAAATCCAAGTCTGTGAAATGGAAGGCAGAGAACTTTGAAGAAACAATGGAATAACTGGCAATAACACGAGCAAAATTGGGAGGATTCTGAATAATTAGAAACATGAAATACTAATAATGCCCAAGCTGTATTCAGTGAGGAAGAATGTAGCATAAAAAAAGTCTCTTATAAACGGGAACAAGATATTAGAGAGAAACAGTAAACATACCAAACAAAAACATTAAATTTTTTTTTTTTTAAAGATTGGCACCTGAGCTAACAACTGTTGCCAATCTTCTTTTTCTTCTTCTCCCCAAACCCCCGCCCCCCATACATAGCTGTACATTCTAGTTGTAGGTCCTTCTGGTTGTGCTATGTGTGACAACGCCTCAGCATGGCTTGATGAGTGGTGCTATGTCTGCGCCGAGGATCTGAATTGCCCAAACCCTGGGCCACGGAAGCCGAGTGCACAAACTCAACCACTTGGCCACAAGGCTGGCCCCGAAATTTTAACATGATAGAAATGTTTCACTCAATCCATTGCATGTCAGAGACTAGCCAGATGTCCACCAAATGGATTTCCTTCTCCTTCCTGGACACACTTAGCTAGACTACATTTCCCAGACTTCATTGCAGTTAGCTGTGACCATGTGTCTGAGTTCTGGCCGATGGAATGTGTGTCAGAAGTGATGCTCACCACCCCAAGGCTTGGTCCATAAGGCCTCTCATGCAATCTTCCAGGCTTTTTTTCTCTTCTCTTTTTCACTAGGCAAATGCTGAGAATCCAGTAGGGAACTTCAGGGTTCAAGAGCATTGTGGAGCTATTAGATGAAAGGAACTGATCCCTGCCAACCCAAGTTGGACTGCAATGCAAACAAGAAATAAACCTTTATTGGATTAAGCCACTAAGCTATGGGGCTTCTTAGGTTAGCCTGACTAACACACACTGAGGAGTCATCTCTTCAGATTATGAGTACAGGATGCATCCCAAGCAAAGTCGGTAAGCTCCACGTGCCAGGGCACAACTCCATTACCATCACTGGTACAAGATTACTTCACCCCTTTTATTTAGCCAGGGATAATTCTAGGTGGTTCTTGCAAAGGTTTGATTATTGAACCCTTCAACACTTGGACTGGTGAAGAACAAGATTCTTCATGATGTTTCAAATAAAGTAAACTAATAAACAAATGAAGTGAATGAATGAATAAATGAATGTGTGGTTATTTAACTAACAACACTTAAGTATACTGGTTTTTTAAAAATCATAAGAAAATTTGTTATCCAGTAACATGGAAGATGGAAACACTAACTCTTATTGTAGACCACCTCCTCTGAAACCTCTATACTCTCTCCTGTGGGAATTTTCTCCATCTCCGTGACTTAAAACAATGATAATCTATGTGTTGGCAATGCTCAGATCTCTATCTCCAGCCCAGATCTGAATCTCTAGCCCAGACTCCTCTCTAGAGTCGAACTATATATGCTTCTTGGAAATTTTCACTCCTGTGCCTAACATAACAGGCATCAACTGAACGAGTCATTGAACTGCAAAAGTCTAATAGAAATTACCTTTACTGGAGATTGTTGGTTATCTTCTCAGCATCAACCCCACCCCACCTTCTTTTCCTTCCAAAGAGAACCCAGATTTGGTTCATGTGTCTACACTTTCCCACACAGCAATATCCCTGGGGGAAGCTGACCCTACTTTCAACTCCAGGGGTGGTCTGTTTGGGCTAAGAGTAATCTAGTTGGTTCAGGAATGGGCAGGTGCCAATGAGATGTGAAGAGTTGTCTGCTGGGAAGCTCCTGGGGAAAGTTTCTTTACTCCTTAGAGAGAACTACAAGAAAAGACAAGAAAGGAAAAAAATCATAAGGAAAATAGATATAGAGGAGAACCCAGAGATCAACTGCACATATTCTTGTGCCAGACTGACTGGATCTGAGTCTACCACTTACTAATTACGTAACATTCAACAAATGACCGAGACTTTCAGTGCCTCAGTTTTCTTATCTGCAAAAGGACTTATGAGAATAAAAAATTAATTAATGTGTGTAAAAGTCTGGCACACAGAAAGCCCTGTACAAGTAAGCCCTGTTCCTTATTATTACATTCTGGATGTTGTTTGCTTGAAACTGCTGGCACCATCTTACCATGAGTCTGAGGATTAAATGAGCTCCAAGGATGCAAAGAGAATTTGAAGTAAATTTCTTCAAAATTTGTTGAAGCAAAGAAATAGAAAGAACCTGGGTCCTCAACGACACGGGTGAACTCTGTAATCAATCGACCCTCTCCTCTGCTGACCATCCTGTTATACGGGATAAGAAACTCCCTTACTGTTCAAGCTGTATTCTTCAGATTAGGTTTTCTGGTATTTGCATCCAACATGACACATCAACTAGGACAGGGCTTTCAGAACTTTCTGAAATTGTGGAATCTTTTTAAAAAACTTAATAACATGAATAATAAAAAATTAATTTTCCTTATTAAAAATGGACGCATATCAGGGGCCAGCCCGGTAGCATAGTGATTGAGTTCACATGCTCCTCTTTGGCTGCCTGGGGTTCATGGGTTCAGATCCTGGGGGCGGACATATACATTGCTCATCAAGCCAAGCTGTGCGGTGTCCCACATACAAAATAGAGGAAGATTGGCATAGGTGTTAGCTCAGGGCCAATCTTCCTCACCAAAAAAAGGGAAGCATTTTGGATAAAGTTTAAAGTCCTTTCTGGTTAAGCATCCCCCAACCTGGTCCATCTCTTTCCCCCTCCCCAGAGGTAACCACAATTACCTTGTGCTAATTGTCTTTTGTGTGTGTTCTTTCCTGATTTTTTTTCTTATTTATTTATACAAAGACTTCTGTATCCAAAGAGAATACATAGCACTGTTGTATGTGTGTGCTAATATAGTGGTTTTATATTGTACACATCTTTCTGCAAAGTTGCTTTCTCAGTCAACAATACATTTTAGCGAGCTAGCTATAGTAATATATAGATTGACCTCAATCTTTGTAACTGTTATAATATATTTCAAGCTGCTAATATTCCACAGCTTATTTAGCCAATCACCAGTTGACGAGCTTTTAGGTTCTTTTCAATTTTGTTTTAATTTATGTTTTGTAACCATAGACAATGCTATGGTTCTCAAACCCGTCTGCTTGTCAAAGCTCCATCAGGCACATAAAAGCTCATGATGCCATGTATTTTTAGTGAACCGTTAGTTTTGTCAATATGAAATACCCTCTTTCATCCTTGAATTCTTTTTTATCTGATATCACTATTGCTATAGCCTCTTTTTGTTAGCATTTGCTTAGTAAGTTTTTTCCATCCCTGTATTTTCAACTTTTCTGTGTCATTTTGCTTTAAGACATTTCTTTTAAAAAAACATAGCTGGATTTAAAAAATCCAACCTGATGGTACTTGATTTTCAATACAGTTGTGTATATTTTAAAATATATTTTCTACCAATTACATGGCCTTGGTATGTGAGGGAGACACGCAGCAGGTGCTCAATCCACCATCTTGAAACTTGAAGTTGTGTCAACGATGAAGTCCTTTATATTTAAAATTTTTATATAAACTTCCTCAAGTATTAAAAGTTATAATAACATGTGTGTATTAAAATGGTGCTAGAATACATTTTATCCTTTTGTATAGGGAGAATTCCAAAGTAAATGGATTATTAGTGAAACTTTTAGGATAATAACATTGAGTTGATAGCCTTGGTGGTCATAAGATTTTTTCTTTTATGCAAAGATTTTATTTAAGAATTAATAAAGTAAACCCTTAATTTCATTGATCATTAATGAAGTAAAACTGTTGATTTCATTTACTAGAAGATCATTCAAGTAAATGAAATGAATTTACCAAAAGATGAAAAATTTCAACCACTGTTTTCCTTATACTTTGGTACACTTCGTAACAAATGTGCTACTAATGAGTGAGTGTGAGTGGCATTTGACGATACACAAAAGAACAGAACCTGAGTTCAGAAAGAACATAATCTCACAAATTTGAATCATGGAAAGAATTCAACAATTTCACAAAACCCTCAAGGCCTAACTTCCATTTGAAAAAAGTCTCCAAGCACCCACATCTTTTACAGAACAGTTAGGAAACTCTATCAGTTTTAGTTATTTTCCAACTATTTTTAGCAAGGTCCTTGTGACCTCATGCAGTGACCTTTGGGGCCTCTTGGGGAGATAAGAGATGGGAGGGGACCAAGTGTGGCTTTGGCCATGCCCTCACTTCAACACAAACAACATCGCTTTCTGTCTGTTTTATATAAAAGGTTTTATTTGAAAAAATAATTCTCCTACCAAAGAGTGATGATCTGGTCTACTATTTTTATCTTCAGTAAAACTAATCCTAAGTCCTTTATAGGTTTATAAAATGTTTTCTCTTCCAAACAGCTTCAGAAAAGGGAATTTCTTTCAGGTCTCAGAGATGCATTTCTTGGTGGGAACTTCTCCGGTGTTCCCAGCCCAGTCCCTTTATGCTCAGCTTCGATGGTCTTCTTTCACAAGAACCCTCAAGTATTTGAAGACAATTATTCAGCTACTCCTCAGCCTTCCCTGCTTCAGGCCAAATCAATCCTATTTTTAATCCCTTTGTACAGATCTCACTTCCCGACATTTAAATCATCTTCGTAGGGTCCTCTTCTCTCTGAAACATCTCCAAGTATCTCTCATCTCCCTCTCCAATTATTAAAGCAACAATTACACACTCTAAAGCTGAGCCAGTGGAAGGGAAAAGGCTTCCTTCCACTTAGCTCCTTTGGGCTTTAATTTGGTTCTTCTTTTGCCCTTCAAAGTCACCTTGATGATGGTGATTGATTAAAGATGGCAACAAATTCTTTGACATTCTTCCCATTGACGTGTGATTAATTTCCCCTCCCCTTAAGTCTGGATTGGTCTGTGACTAGTGAGTGACCAACCCAGAATGGCAGAAGTGATACTATGCCAGGGTTTAACAAGACTGGCAACCACCACCTTGGCCTCTTGGAACACCTGCTTTGGCAGAAGCTGGCCACCACACAAAAAAAATCAGGCTAGAGAAAGACAAATATTGATCTCACTTATGTATGGAATCTACAAACAAAAAGCAAAACCAAATTCATAGATACAGGGAACAGATTGGTGGTTCCCAGAGGGAGGGGTGGACAGGTGGGAAAAATGTGTGAAGGTAGTCAAAACGTACAAACTTTTAGTTATAAAATAAATAAGGGACTGGCCTGGTGATATAGTGGTTAGGTTTGTGTGCTCCATTTCTGTGGCTCAGGGTTTGTGGGTTCAAATCCTGGGTGTGGACCTATACACTGCTCATCAAGCCATGCTGTGGCAGTGTCCCACATACAAAATAGAAGAAGATTAGCACAGATGTTAGCTCAGGGATAATCTTCCTCAAGCAAAAAGAGGAAGATTGGCAACAGATGTTAGCTCAGGGCCAATCTTCCTCACCAAAAACTAAAAAAAAAAACCCCAAAAAACCTGTAAAAAAAATGTCAATAGCCTGGGGATGTAATTCACAGCATAGTGACTATAGTTAATACTGTATGGTATATTTGAAAGTTGCTAAGAGAGTAGATCTTAAAAGACCTCATCACAAGAAAAAAACTTTTGTAACTATGTGTGGTGATGGGTGTTAACTAGACTCAATGTGGTGATCATTTTGCAATATATACAAATGTAAAATCATTATGTTGTTCATCTGAAACTAACACAATGTTACATGTCAATTATATCTCAATTTAAAAAAAATTCCAAAAAAAAATTAAAAAGAAATAATCAGGCTACCCTGAGATCACCATGCTGTAAGGAAGCCCAAGCTGCCATGTGGAGGGGGCCTTGGACAGTGGTGTCCCATAGCCCCTAGCTCTTCCAGCCATGTCAACCACGGCATCATGAAAGATAATAACGAGTTGTTGTGTTATGCCACTAACTTTTCTTGTGGTCTATTATGCAACAAGGTGACCAGAATGATGAAGTTTTCTCACCTTTGCGATTTACTCTCCTTTCCCCTTCCCGGGGATCGTCCTGGATGTTGGCACTAACCAAGGGCCCCACAACCAAAGGTGATCATCAGGAGGGCTCGGGCATGAATTAGCCCTACCTTATCTATCAAGAAGAAGTGATCATTTCCCCCGCTTTCCCTCCAGTTTTCTTGTTTTATGTCATTTAGAAATCCTCTTTTCAAGAATACCCCAAGAGACAGTCCCCAGTAGTGAGAATTTTTCTCTGTGTGTATATAGTCTACTGTCATCTTTCCTTAAAACTGTATTTCTGTTGTCCAGCTCATAGCTTTTTTTCCAAAGCCGTCCAAGTTCTGTGAGGTTGTGGATGAAGTTACAGGGTCTAGCACATTCCAAAGTAAAACAAGAGGCTTGTGTTATTTGGTATGAACAAGGAGATTTGATTCTATGAGGTAGATCTATAAGTTATGGGCTTTCCTGGGTCACCAAGGAAGTCATAGCTGGGAATGAAGTTGCCTGTTTAAAACCCAGGTGTTCTAGTTAATTCTCGTAGGTTGGAAGAAAGCACCAACCAAAGCAGGGAATTTGGGAGACTTCTCTGAGCTGAGCTCGTTTAAACTACATGCTTGTATAGAATGATTCATTTTTGCAAGAAGGTATAATAACCCCTCCAATCTTATATGATTCGGAGCCAGGGATACACAGGCAATGAAGTCAGCAGTCCCCACCGGGCAGTGAAGTTTTGTTTTTGTACTCCAAGGAGAGCAAATCATATAAAACAAACCAAATACTAAACTTCCCCCCGAGTCTTAGAACCAGGTTGATCTGGGGGATTGGTTGTTCAGATGGAAGAGAATATAACACCCACAGGCTGGTCGACACTCTGTCACCTCATGGAGAAAACTGTCTACATCTACCTGTCTGAACAACGTACCCAACTGCAGAAAGACAAAAAGTGGCACATAGCATTAATACTCAGCTACAGTTGACAGCACCAAAAATAT